CTACGTATCACACAATTCAATAGTTCAATCATATCAAGAAGAGTTATACAATCATTACCACAATCAATTTCAGAGCACCCCCCCACCCCATGGTTAAATTGCTCTTAAAATGAGTTGTGTACCCACCATCAGTTCTAGTGTTCCCTCCCCCCTCCCACATACATTGTTTGCTCCCCAAGCCCCCTCACCCTCCCTATCTCCCGCCCCATCCTACCTGCCCTGTAAACCCTGCATCCGCTCTTATCTTTATGCCTCTACTCCTGTGCTTCACAAACTGGAAAACCCAACAGAAACAAAATAAAGTGGTAAGGATAAAATCATAATAATACAGAGATAAAATTACAAATAATGAGTAAGAAAGAAAAGATCACCAGGAATATTTAAAAGGCCAGGGAAGAAAATTTTATCATACAGGCAAGAAATTCCTGCATCTAGGACAATTTCAGGTTGGGTCAAGAGGAGGTCAACAGACCCAGTATCAAGTTCAATCCAGTACTATCACCAGTACAAAGGTCTCTGAGGGTAAAGCTGTTAGGGACCCTTGCCTGTGGCTAGAGGGGATCTGCCTGCAGCTTAATCTGATTAGAGACTGCAGATGGATTTTGAGCTCCCTCTGTCTTCCACAGCCTTCTACAAAGTGGGTGCTCGTACTTTAGGCTGATTCCTTTCCCTTTGTCATATTTGAATTTTGTTATTGTTGTCTCTGGATTACACAAGCTTCCATGTGGAGTTAGTTGACTCCTAGCTTAGACGGCTGCTTCTTTGAATACAAGCCTTTAAACCCCCAGACTGTTCTGATAGCTGGGCACCACGTTTTCCTCAGCACACTTTGCTGTAGCACTGCTTTTCAGCGGTCATTTCACGAAGGTGAGTATTGAGCGGGGCATTGTTATCAGAACTCACTGGTCTTGGTTTGGGGTAACTCTTTACAGGAGTAGAAAGCCTTTTTCTCCTGAGGACCAGCTGGTGGATTTGAACTGCTGACTTTTGGTTACCAACTCAATGCATAACCACAGGCCAGCATTTGTGAAATTCCACATTGTTCACACCATTTAGCGCAGGTAGGTTATGCTCCAATCAAACCCAACCAGCCACCATCAAGTCAGCGCTGGGCCTGGCACGCCTGTGTTACAGAGCAGAACTAGCAGTGGGGTGGTCTGGGCTGTCATCCTTGTGCAGGCGATCACCAGGCCTTTCTTCCATGGTACCTGTGGGTGGGATCGAGCTACCAACCCTTTGGCTACAAATCAGACACAAACCATTTATGCTCCTCCAGGACCTTTGTTTACTTCAATAAAGCTATTAAAAGAAGAAGAAGAAATGAACCGCCCACCACGTGTTTTTAGCAGACGATTTTGAAAGTCAGATGAGTGTTTTGGATTCAACAACTCAGTTTAGAGACAAGACCATTCAGGCCTGAGCTAGGCGCTCCCCCTAAATACTCCACCACTTGTGAGGACCAGAATCCATTCGTGTTTACTAAGATTTTTATTCAGTGGGGGAAAGTTTTTTCTTCTCACCTTTAAATTTAGCACAGTGAATTTTTTCCTGGAGTAAAAATAGATTATGAGTTTGTTAAAAAAAAAAAAAAAAACACCCACAATTTAATTTCTCCTGACTCAGCCAGAGCTTTGGCGATTTTAACATTCCCCGCTGAACTTGCCAACACCTGCCTTTGCTCGCTAACACTTCCACCCCACACCCAGGGCTCTGCCTGGCTGATTCCAGCTCCCCATCACCACAACCGCAAACCACAGGGGGGCACGGAGGCTGGTGTCGCACGGTTAAGAACTTCCTTTTTTTTCAGCCACAAGTTTCGGTTTGTGATTCGCACCAAGCTCCTCTCCAGCAGGCGAGAGCTATCGTGTTACCTGAGAGTGTGCAGGAGTCACAGGTAACTTCTGGGCCACTCCTGAGCAGCATTTCTCAAGCCTTCTTCTTTGATGGCTGCCTGTCATAAGGATGCCACAGGACACCTTCCCCAAAACTTGGAGACAGTTTCTCGCTGAGTGCTAGGTATCAATAATTTAACAACAGAGATCCCCCAAGAGATAGTAATAAACAAACGCTTCGAAGTCTCCATCTGTCAAACACGGTCTTGTTGAAGGGAGCTATGTTAGACAGGGTTCTCTAGAAACAAAATCAGAACGCTAATAATTTTATATATACATTTATATAGATAGATAACCTAAGAAATAAACAATCTATAAAGCAGTACAAATGGCTCAGTGCAACTCACTCCCATGAGACAGCTGTGAGACATTGGCAGTCCTTCAAGTCTTGAGGGATGCCGGGTAGTCCTCTGTAGATCAATTCAGGCTAACCGGGCAAAGGCAGCAAACAGCAAGGCAGGTCACCAACAGTCAGCCAGATGACAGGGTCCGACAGTCCCCAGCTCAAGAGATGTATATTCCAATAGTGTGGCGAAGCAGGTCTTGAAAGGAACCTCAACTTACAGCGACACAGTCCACGGGTTAGGGGTCCCATAGGTAGTGTAGCTTGAAAATTGAGGCACAGAACAAGTGAGGCAGTTGATCCGATGATCAAAGAGCAAGAGACAAGAAAGGCAAGGCTCGCGGAGCCAGCCTTCAATTAATCCCACGTGTTCATTGGCCATGTTGGCACAATGAACGTTAACTATCTCAGGGGCTATCAGGCCAGTTCTGAGTCACAGGCACCTCCTGTCTTTTCCTCCTGTGGGCATCTGTGGACCTCCATCAGGCCTTGTGGTTAGCAGCCCCTACGTCCCTGATAGCTCCACCAGGGACCTTCGTTTGCGGAAGAACCAAACGCTGCCTAACCCTGTGCCACCCTCACAAGGGTTGCTACACCTATTGGTGTAGCCACTGTGTCAACCCATCCTTCCAGGATCTTCCTCTTTGTCACCACTGACTCCCGGCTTTCCCAAGCATGACGGCCCTCTCCAGGGAGTTCTGTTCTGCTCCGAAGGTCCTAGGATAGTGGTTCTCAACCTTCCTAATGCCGTGACCCTTTCATACAGCTCATGTGGTGACTCCCCGCAACCATAAAATTATCTTCGTGGCTACTTCATCACCGTCATTTTGCTAGTTATGAATAGGGCGACCCCCAAAGGGGTCGCAACCCACAGGTTGAGAACCACTGACCTAGGTGTTGTAATCAGCTTGATGGCAAGAGGTTGTTTTGGGGAGGTGGGTTCCCTGTCGATGGCCTGCTCCTGTTGCATGGTAATGTGAAAGGTGGCAGTGGGACACTTGTGGGTCATTTTGTCCTTTGTCACCCTGGAAAGACCCTCTTGATGACATGTCCAAAGTACATGAGGCTAAAACCTCACTGCTCTCGTGACCAAGACGCATGCTGGTTGTACTTCTGACCATTCGCGGTCCCTTCAGTCTTCTTTCAGCTTCCTGTGCTGCTATGGCAGCCTGGGTGTTCCTGTGATGCTGGGAGCTAAGCCACCGCTATTCAAATCCCAGCGGTCACCCCCGTGGACAGGGTTTAGCAGGGCTTCTGGACTAAGACAGACCTGGAAGATGGACTCAGTGATCTACTTCTGAAAAAAAATTAGCCAGTGGGAGCATCTGCCGTGACAGTGGTTTACATCGGAAAGCAACACCACACACTGTCAGAATGAACAGAGCTGTCTTGGAAGGAGTACCTCTTGAACGAGCCTTCGAAGCAAGGACGGCAAGACTTCATTGCATATACTTGGAGCATGTTATCAGAAGGGACTAGACTTTGGGGGCATGTTATCAAGACGCTGGCCCCTCCAAAGTTGGGCCAAGTGCTGGAATACAGCTGAAAGCAAACCAAGCCCTGCCCAGAGGGATTCTGTGATAGTTGATGCTTGTGTCAACTTGGCTGGGCCAGGATTCCCCATGATGTTATCCAGCATCAGGAAAGCAACTCCACTGCAGGATCTGCTATGAGATCAAGTCAAGCAGCTGTGGGAAAATTGGAGTGCAACGCCTGACTTAGGTCACAGCCCTAATGAAGTTTTGACAGGGGTGTGGCCTCCTGCAAACCTAAGCAGACTCTGCAGGGCGCTTCCTCTCTTCTTGCTGACCTGGAGCCTGCATCTGGCTCAACTCTGGTTCTTTGGACTTGAGCCAACAACCCACCACGTTGCCTGCCCACCTTGGGAGGTATCAGAGCCTGCCATCAGACCTGCAGGCCTTAGATTCACCTGCTGCTGCATCCACCAGCAGTAGGCTTCCTGTTCCCTGTTTATCAGTGCCAGCAGCTGTGAGTCAGTTTTAACATCTGATCCATGGACTTGAACCAGACTAGACTTACCCACTTCTACAACTGCATGAGCCACTTTCTTGACACCGTGCTTTCTCTATATGTGTGTGTGTGTATAATCACTGGTTATGCTTCTTGGAGAACCCAGCCTAACACAAAGCCCAAAGCAGAAAATATTGGGGGACCAGTGGACATCTCTGAAAGAGACCTGTCTGTGCTCACGGGGATGTCCAGGGAGATCTCCTGACTCCCCAACACCAAGTAGAAGAGGACTCAGAGTGTGTGTGTGTGTGTGTGTGTGTGTGTGTGTGTGTGTGTGTGTAGCGCACTGTTTCTCCACTTGGCCGACCCCGGGATTTTCTCCTCCTTTGGCTCCCAGAAAGAAGTGAAACAGCCCTACCCCCACTCCCACCCCCCGCCCCAGGGAGGCAGCCTGGGTGCTGAGCATGCTCTCTCCCACAGCTGACGATGCAGGGGACATTCTCACTGGGCTGCACCACCACCACCTTTCTGGAGAAGCTGGCATTTTACTTTCAAACCGGAGGTGGCATTTTCCGAAGGGGTTTTCAGAGGATGCAAACAAGAATGTACCCCCAGGGGCACGACGGGCTTCCCGCCCCCCACCTGAGGCAGGCGGGAGCCATGGCCGGACACATGGCAGCTGTGGTCATGGGCCTGGCTCCGGTAGAGCAAGCAGTTGGGGCAAAGAGGTGGGCAAGGCACCTGAGTCGCCCCGTCTCCCACCCCTCTGCCCAGCCCCCCACCCCTCGCCTCGCCCAGCTACAGTCAGAACCCTGTGCAGTAGGGTCAGGCCATGTCCAGCTGGGCATGGTTGTGGGGAAAGCCGGGTAGCATGTGTCAGGGCTGAGTGAGTGCAAGGGACAGGCCGGGCCTCCCGCACCCCCGCCCCCTCACCAAGTTCACAGGAGTCCTCTAATCCGATTCCCCACTGGGGGTGTGGGCCCTCAGGGGGCCTGCAGAGCAGTCATCTGTCCCTAGCTGCATCCACAAACTGTCTGACCCCAAGGTGGTGGGTCCTCAGGAACCAGACAAATGCACAGAATGGGAGGACTGGCACTAGAGCCCAGCAGCAGCCCTGCAGAGGGTCCCAGCCAGCCACCTGGGGGGTGGAGAGGCAGGAGATGGGACCACAGAGACGGGGCACCTAGAGCTTTGCCGGGAAGGACTGGGACCCTGCCAGCGTCTCCATGCTGTTGGGGGAGGTCAGCCACAGGCCACCGTCGGCCACCAGCACGGCGCCTGTCACAAAGGATGCCGCGGGGCTGGCCAGGAAGAGCGCGCTGTGGGCCATCTCGGTCTTGTTCCCCAGCCTCTGGAGTGGCATCCCCAAGAGGTGCAGCCTTCTGCTGGCCTGGGGACCACCTGGAGAGAAGCAGGCCGGGTGTGAGGCAGGCCCCCGGGGCCCCTCCCTCGTGCTGGCTCTTTCTCTAACAAAGGGGACCTGCAGAGCAGGAACAGGCCTTTCCAGCCCACACCACGCTTGGGCTCGAGCAAGTCCGTGGGCCATGTCACTCCCCACCTCTCAAGGAAGCGGCTCCAAGTTCAGCTGAGGGCAACCACCTAGGTCAACACTGTCACAGGGTCGTGGGCAGGGAGCCCCCACCCCACCGCCCCCGCCCTGCAGAGAACTCACCCAAACGCCGGAAGCCCTCAGTGCCAGCGATAGGACCAGGAGCCAGGCTGTTGACCCGGATGTTCTGCTTCCCCCACTCTACGGCCAGGTGCCGCGTCATGGCGTCTAATGGGGGGGGGGGGAGCAGCATGAGGGGTGTCTTGCCTTCTGGGGACCCCACTCCACCCTGAAACCACAGCCCCAGGATGGCGGGAGGGGCCGTACCAACGGCAGCCTTGGCGGCACCTGCATGCACCTGGAACACCTGTCCACGTGTGCTCAGCGTGGCAGTGATGTTTAAGATCACCCCTCCATGGTCCTGCAGTGGGGGAGATGGGCAGTCAGCGGGCAGCTGGAGAAGGGGGGCCTCAGCCCATGGAATACCCACCCGGAAGAACTTCTCGTAGAGCACACGGGACACGTTGAAGGTGCCGGCAGCATCAATGTCCAGCACGGTCTTGAAGGCGTTGAAGGACAGGGCCCCAGCGGGGCACAGGAAGTTCCCAGCTGCACCTACAGGATGGCAGGAGATGGGGGCTGGTGAATGCCTACGGGCAGAGACCCTGGGGTGGGCAGGGCAGGATGGGAGTCAGTGGCAAGTGGACCCTCACGTACATGGAGTGCTGAACAGACCCCTGAATGACAGAAGCAAGAGGATGTGATTTCAGAGCGTCATTCCAGCCAAGAGCGGCCTTGGTGTAAACTACCAACCCAAGCCCGACCCATGGCATCCAGTTGTTCTGACTTGGAGTGCCTGAGAGGTTTGGCCTGTGGACCTTGGGGCAAGCAGTCCAACACTTATCAGACAGATTAATAATCATAGGTCAGTATTGGTTCGTGCAAGCCCTGATACATGCTGCCACAAGTCGTTAGGTTATTGTTGCCAGGTGCCATCGGAGTGAGTTCTGACCCCTAGAGACCCCTGCAGAACGGAACAAATCAGCAGCAGGTCCTGCGCCAGCCTCACAAAGGTTCTTAGGTTTGAGCCCATTGTTGCAGCCATGGTGTCAGTCCATCTTGTCCAGCATCTTCCTCTTTTCCACTTCCCCTCTACTTTACCAAACATGATGTCCTTTTCCAGGAACTGGTCTCTCCTAATAAGATGTCCATGAGGAGCTGATGCCAGGGGTTTACATGGAGAGCAAATGTTTTGAGAATGATGAGGGTAACGAATGTACAAATGTGCTTTATACAATTGATGTATGTATAGATTATGATCAGAGTTGTATGAGCCCCCAATAAAGTGATTAAAAATAATAATAATAAGATGTCCAAAGTAACGTGAGATGAAGTCTCATGATCCTTGCCTCTGAGGAGCACTCTGACTGTACTTCTTCCAAGACAGATCTGTTTGTTCTGTTGGAAGGCCATGGTTTTTTCAATATTCATCAACACAGTCGTTCAAATGCATTGATTTTTCTTCACTCTTCCTTATTCAATGTTCAACTTTCACGTACGTAGGAGGCATCTGAAAATTCCATGGCTTAGGTCAGGCGCACCTCAGTGCTCAAAGTAACATCCTGGCTTTTCAACACTCTAAACCTTGAAGACAACATGCTGAGGGAAGTAAGCCAGACAGGGAGGCTCCCCGGGTGCACTGCTGCTGGTGTAGCAGGTTATGGAGTGGGCTGCTAACCGCAAGGTCACCTGCTCAGAGGGAGGAAGACGAGGCTGCCTGCTCCCTGCCACAGTTCCAGTCTCGGAAACCCACAGGGACAGTTCCACCCTGTGTCAGAATGGACTTGATGGGTTTGGATGTGGGAGTTTGCTGTGATCCTCAAAACCAGTGGTGGAGACGATTCCAGCTCACATGACCCTGCAGGACATAGTAGATCCGCCTCATGGGGATCCCAAGGCTGTGATCCTTCCAGAAGCAGATGATCGCATCCTGCTCTCACAGAGCAGCCAGGGCAGCAGTTCTCAACCTGTGGGTCGCAACTCCTTTGGGGTCAAACGACCCCTTCCCAGGGGTCGCCCAATTCATAACAGTAGAAAAATAACAGTGATGAAGCAGCAACAAAAATCACTTTATGGTTGGGGCTTCACCACCACATGAGGAACTGTGTGAAAGGGTTGCGGCATGAGGAAGGTTGAGAACCACTGAGCCAGGGGATCTGAACCGCTGACCGTACAGTTAGTAGCTGAGTCCTTCCACACTGCGTCACAGGGCTCTTTGCAGAATCCCCCTTGTTCGAAATGTCTAGAAAAAGGGTCAATTCACAGACCAAAAGCAGAGCACTGGCTGCCTCAAGACTGTGGGGAAGGAAAGGAGAGGTGGCTCAGTGTTGCCTTCGGGAAAGAGCCACACTGGGAAAGGGGTGGGGGTGACACTGTGCTGCCCAGTGAGGGCCACGCATGCCACCTATCTGAACATGGACAAACCCGCCTGAAACAACAGACACTTCACTGAAACAGGTACACGTACTGAGTCACTCCTTGTCACCCACGTAACACTCAGACGCAAGATGCCAGTAATGGGGAGACTGGATGAGGCAAAGGGTGGGGAGGGATACCGTGGGGCTCTCTGGACTTCCAAACTGCCAATTTAAACAACTGTCCATTTAAACCGTACTAAAATAATACTAAAAACAAAACCCATTGCCATCAAGTGGATGTCAACTCACAACGACCCTCCAGGACAGAGTGGATTGAGTGGACTGCCCCACGGGGCTTCCAAGGGCGCACTCTATGAACACAGACTGCCTCCGTTTCCTTCCAGAAACCACTGGTGGGCTTGAACCAGACTGCACACTTGCCCACTGGTGTGCCCACTGCCTACCAGGGCTCCTACTAAAGTAACATAGGCAACAGATATTGCCAGTTTTATGTAATAGCAAGCTGCAGCGTTGCGAGCTGGACTGCTCACAAGGTCAGCAGTTCAAACCAACCCGCCACTTCCACGGAGAAAGCTGAGGCTGTCCACTCCCGTAAACAGTTGCAGGTGGACAACCATTGCAACGCCCTGAAGGAGTGCAGTCCCACTCTGCTCTGAGTCAGTGCTGCCTCAACGGTGGTGAGTTTGGTGAGTTTGGGGATGACTGCTAACAGGCACCCTGGCAGCAACACTGACCATGAGAAGGGATCTAGGTCTGGGCTTTGGGTGCCTGGGCCCTGGCAAAGTCTCACAACAAGGACAGGTCTGGGGCTGCGATGGGAGGCCAGGCATTGCTGACCACTGTTGGGCCCTTGCTCTGAAACTCACCGTTAATGAGAATGTCAATCTTCCCAAACTCCTCCAGTGCCTTGTCCACTGCAGCCAAGATGGTTGGGGGATTTCGGACATCCAGAGAGAGGGGGAGACACTGCTGGCCCGTGGCCTCAGTCAGCTTCTTGGCAGCCTGGAGACCAGACCAGGGTGGGGTGTGGAGATGAGGGGAGAGGGCAGCCTTGCCTTTGGCTATGAACTGTCCTTCTAGGAAACCATTTTGCCAGTTCAACCCATCCCAGGTGGCTACCCTCCTCTGGACATGGTGAGGGGGATGGGGCTGCACATCTGCCTCATCTTCTCTGGGGCTTCATCACTACAGCATGTGCAGCTGACCCCCATCCCATCCAGTTCAAGGACCTGATTTCTCTGGCCAGTCTCCAAATGGGTGGGACACATAGATACCACCTAACACCCTTGACCCCAGAGCCCTCAAGGGGTCATTTCCAACAACAACACAAGGTCCCCAGGGAACAAAGAGTCCTGGGAGGCCAGGTGCACTGAAGCCGCGCCCCTGGTCTCAGGACTCTCTGTGTGCGTCCACTCCACAGTCTCAGGGCCAGGCAGACGGCCTCACCGTCAGCAGTCTGGGCAGGCTCCTGCTGGCGATGACAGTGTGGCAACCATGCCTGTAAGACCAGAGGGGCACAAGGTGAACAATGTGGGGACACTGAATGACTGGAGGTTCCCAGCCCACTCAGGGTCACAGGTCCACTCCAAACACCCCAGCCTGAAAGCAGCATGACCCTGTTTGGTGCCACGTGCCCAGACCCTTGTCCAGTGGTGGTGGCTGTCCCTTCCCCAGCTCAGAGGGGCTCAGCCTCGCAGCAGCAGTCAGTGCTGCCTCCAGTAGCAGTTTCCCTATAAGGTACAGGCCCTACCCCGTCCTTGAAACAGACCCAAGACTTTGGCCACAGGCTTAGGAACATTACTAGCTAATGAGGCTACCTCCGAGGCCTCTATCTCCTGGGACTCACCTCCAACATGAAAGGGGAGCTTAAGTGGACACCGGGGAGGGGATGTCAGCAGACCTGCTTTTGACCACCCCAGCCATCCCTGCGTACCTCCCTGGTTCCTAGGTGTAGATGGCAAACTGCCACCCTAGGCCTGTGGCCACAGACCTTTTGTCCAACAGCACTTTGCCCTGTACACATTAGTATCCACTGATCAAAGCACAGTCCCCAGCCCTGGTGGACCAAGGGCAGGCCACGCTCAATTACATAAGCTCCTCCTTAACAGCCCAACACATAACCCACCCCACCACCAAGATGCCTGCCATGGTCCCTCCAAGTTGGGATCCTACCCAAATGGACCCTGCACAAGTAGGTGGGGGCTCAGAGGGAGCAGCAACTGCCTCCTCTGGGGAACTCCAAAATGCCCACCCTCCCCTCATTGTGCAAACAGGGTGCCTCGGGCAGAGCACCAGAATCCTGACACCCAACCTCCTGGGGGCCCTGCTTAGCACCTGGTGGCTGCCAGACCCTCTCAGGGGCACTGCGATCTGTCTCCAGGTGGTGGGGCATGCTGCCCAGGTAGCAGGTGTGTGTGTGTGGGGGGGGGGGGCAGGGAGCACTACACTACAGCACCTACCGCATGAAGATCTCAGCAATCCGGAATCCGATCCCTGAGCCCCCACCAGTGATAAAGGCCACCTTGTTCCTGAGAGGAGGAAAATAGGGTTCTAGCAGAAGTCCTCATTACCTGCAGGGAGGGGGCCAGGCAGGTGACCGCGGTAGACTTTGACGCTATGCAACAGGGCTCTTTACAGGCGTGTACTGCTCACAGAAGCGACATGTGGTTTTCATAAGAAAAGAAAGTGCTGCCTTCTAAAAGTGGGTTCTCCTAAGTTCCCCACCTGATTCACCATCACGGTCTCCAGCCTGCAGCTAAAAGCTAGCTCTACCGTCAGGGGCAAGAACGGCCCGGACAAGAAGACCCCTCTCGGGCAAAGGTCACCAGGCCGCCTGGACAGTCCACTCGCCCAGCGGGAATCCTCTCCCACCCCAATGAACCACATCCTCCCATCGCTGTCCTCGGTCCTCGAGTGCCGCCCACCGGAGGAGGTCTGGGCAGAAGAGGTGGCGGTATTCGAGGAGACAGTCGTCCCCATCCACGTCAGGCGGCGGCTGGGCCATGGTCTCGGAGCAGCGGAAGTCGTGCAGGACGAGGGCGCTCTGGACCGACCGGGTCCCGAGGATCCGCGCGCTGAAGCGCAGCCCCTCCCCTCCACGGCGCCACACCCCCGTCACGCCCCCGACGCAGACCACGCCCTTGCGTCGACCCACCCCTTCCCGCATGCTCCGCCCCTCGACGCGCTCCGGGCGGCACTTGTTCACTGCTCACCTCCACGCCACGCCCCATTCCCCGCCCACTACGCAGGCCCTGCCTCTGGACGTACGCCCCTCCCTTCACTTCGAGGCCGCGTTGCTTTCTGGGACTGGAGGTTTCAGGGCAGGCGCAGTGCGTCGCAGACCTTCTCCTGGGCTTTAGAGGCCTGAGCAGCTTGTCCCACCCGCCCCACCACCATCATCACCCCCAGCCCTTCTAAGGATTTGGCTGCTGTGCACAGCTTCTGATTTAAGGGCGGCTCCGCAGCCAATCTGTGCCATAAAAACATCTGGGGGAGCTCAGCACCGAAACACCCCAAGTGGAAGGGGATCTTCCCTCACACACATCCCCACCTGCCCTTGTGCATAAATATAGCTGGCCAAGTGGACGTGGGGCCCCAGGACACTTGAGGAAAACAATGTGGACCTCCTGCCCTGATTGCCTCAGGCGCCTATCTGGTGCCAGTTCCTCTAATGGCCCTATTGTGAACCTAAAGGTTGCTCCCTCCCATGGGCCCAACACACCGGTCATGAAGACACTAAAGGCTAGATTTAGTGACCTTAGCAGGAGTATCCACTCCCTGAAACAGATGACCAGGGAGCTTCAGGCCTCGGGGGGTTGGCGTAGGGTGTAGACGCCCAGTAGCTCCATTTCTTCCCAGCAGCTGCAGGGCCACTTTCCCTGATCCACTGTAGCCTCCCATCTCGAAGGGCCAGCTGAATGGTCAAACTCCCCCACTCTCATTTCAGGTGCGAGGTCCCTGGACTCCTGCCTGCATCTTGCACCCATAAAGCTAAGGCTGCCCTCCTGGAAATGCAGAGCAGGAAGGTTCATTTTTGGCCCCAGCTGTTTACAACTTCCCACTGAGATTGCCCGCCAGCCAAGCCAGCTTCAGCAACTGCAGCACCACGCACTGCTGCACAATGAACTTTAATGCTTTCCTTGGTGGGCAGGCTGGTCACACACCTCACAGGTGGTCCGGCACTTTGGTACTGGAAGGATTTGGTCCAATGTCATGTGGGCTTAAGACACAGAAAGGCACAGAAAATCGATGCCTCAACATCTCCTACTTTGGGTGCAAGGTTCCCGGGAGGGTGGTTTGGAGGGCTGGGCAAAGTGTGGGTGTGAGCTGAATCTTGATGACAGAGGGGGCTGGTACCAGCGAACGGGGGGCAGTGGAGAGCAGCTGGCCCTCTCAGGCTGCAGAGGCATTGCCTTGGGAGCCCCGGTCTGTCCAGTCCACCAGCTCACTGCTCCGGAACCACAGCCCGATTTCCCTCTGGGCCCCCTCCACGGAGTCGCTGGCGTGGATGATGTTCCTGGGTTGGTGACAGACAGAAAGGTAAGGCTCTGGGTGCTCCCGGAATTCCCGTGGCAGGTCTGGGGAGAAATATGGGTGACTGTGCGGGGAGCATGAGAAGGAGTAACGGGAGCCAGAACCTATCCCAGGAGATGAGAGTTGGAAAACTGGTTCCACCTTCTAACCAACCACCTCGTGTCGTTGTCTGATGCTGTGGGACTCACAGCGGTCCGATGTACAACATCGCCTCGTCCTGTGCCATCCTCACAATAATCTTGTTTGAGCCCATTGTTGCACTACGTCATGCGCCCAACAACACACATGGCTTCTGGGCACCACAAAGATAATGACAGGTGTCTCCCAAGCATGGCAGGCAGACGCTAGGAGAGACCGTCCACCTCCACAAAGCAGAGGGCTGGCACAGAAAGTGATTGATTGCCTCAGAGAGAGGGAAATGACACAGTACCGAAACCACAGGGATGGGTTCAGGCCCAGCCGTTCAGCTCAGATACAGACGGTGACCTTGGGTCAGAGTCTCAGTGCAGCAAATCAGGTTAGAGGGTTAGGGCCTCCCTGAGATGTCCTGCACAAGGTAAGAACTATCAACTGCAGGAAACAAACCCTATAGACTACCAGGCTCTACCTGGGTCCCAGCAAGAGGCCCCGCCCTCTGTTCTCACACCCACACCAAGTCCCCAGACCTGTGCCTGGCAGGGGCAGGCTGCCCCTCCCCTGTATCCCACAGCACCCCATCCGCCTCCCCTCCCCCTCCCCAAGGCTGCGTGTCAGCCTAATCTCTACCTGCTGATGTGGATGCTGAAATCTCCCCGGATAGTCCCTGGGGCAGCTTCAGAGGAGTCCGTGTCCCCGATCATGGCCCTCGAGGTCCGGACCACGTTGTGGCCTTCCCAGACCTGCAGCCCAGAGATAAGGGGTCAGGGAGGGCAGCCACCTGGCAGGCCCTTCCATTGGCCCCAGGGCCCGCTCACCATAGCCACCAGGGGCCCAGAGCTCATGTAGCTGATGAGGGCTGGGTAGAAGGGCTTCCTTCGAAGATCATGGTAATGCTCGGCCAGGATGCTCTCTGGAGCCTGAGTTGCACAATGTGGGGGGGTAAGTAAGTGAGAGGCACCCTCCTCTTTGCCCAGCCCCCCAGGTGGCCCCCAGGTACCTGCAGCATCTTCATCCCCACCAGTCTGAAACCTCGCCTCTCGAAGCGTCGGATCACATCCCCCACAAGCCGACGCTGCACCCCGTCTGGCTTCACAGCCACCAACGTCCGCTCTGGGGTCCAAGAGGGCCCTCCTTCAGAAAGGAGGGTCAAGGTTTTTCAGTCAGGCCCCCACCCCCAAACAACTCAGGGGACACCAAGCCACCGTTGGGGCACCCAGGGCAGCAGGCTGAAATGGAATGGGCAGGGCCTGGACCTCCATGACGCCTGTCCTTGGTGGTGGCTGGAGAGACCCCATCCAGCTGTTGTGAGAAAGAGCATTGCCCATACCAGGGGTCTCCTTGGAGAGGCAGGGGACCCCACAGCCCACACACCTGCAAATGGGAGCACCAGGGTGAGGGGCCCCAGAACCTCCCAGGGAGGCCTTCTCCAGGCCCAGAGCCCCACAAAGTCCCTGGGCCCGCACACCTAAAAGGTGGGCCTCACTCCTATCGCACCAGTTCTGGAGCTTAGCCTAGCAGCTCCTTGCCCAGGGAGGGTGGGTACAGGGAGGTGAGGATGTAGGCGGGTGCCGGGTCTTGAACGGCGCGAGTTGTCTGCAGGACTCTCCCAACGCCCCAGGGCCTCCCGCCCCCGGCCGGCCTGCCTGCCTGCCTGCCTGCAATGGGGGGCCTGGCCCAGCGCCCGCCCCGATGGCCACACGTGTGGGAACAAAGGCCGCGTGCCCCTCGGAGCCCTCCCGCCCGGGGCGCCAACTCACCCGAGCTCTGGCGCACGGGACTCGGGCCTGGGACCCGCGGGCCGCAGAGGAGCCCCCGCAGGGCGGTGCCCCCCCAAAAGGAGCGCATGGCCCTGCGCGGCAGAGCTGTCCAAGCCGGCCGAGCCCAGGAAGGAGGGGCGGGGGGCAGGGGGCGGTGCTGGGTTTGCGCCCCGCCCCTGGGAGCCTACCCACCCTGACCCCAGTCTGCAGATGCAGATCCCAGAAGCAAGACCTGGGACCTTGGCCCCAAGTCCGCCAGCGCCTCCTTGAACCGGGCCACAGATCTTGACCCCCTGCCCCACTCCCCGAAGGGCCCCTGGCGCACGCTCCCAGGGCTCCTGCCAATGTAGGATGTTGGTGTCAGAAACCAGAGGACATGGTGTTAACTGATCCATCCTAGGCCCTTGCTTCTCCTTAAACCAGATGTAGGAAAATGCCATCATAAATGCTTTTAATGGACGTTTGAACACTAGAGCATATTAATGAGTTTTTTAATGTTTGTAAAATACATTGAACATTAAAACGTCCCTTAAGGGGAGGGGGAAAAAAAGGAAAATTAGCGGGTTCCGGGAACCCAAGAGGCAAGCGAATTTTGGGAATGATGAGGGCAACAAATGCATAGATGTGCTTTCACAATTGATCTATGTATTGTGATGAATTGTATGAGCCCCAATAAATTGATTAAAAAAACAAACAAACCAAAAAAAAACATCCCTTTCCTAGCTGATGGTGCCTGGCTATCAAAAGATATAGCGTCTGGGGTCTTAAAGGCTTGAAGATACAGTAGCCATCTAGCTCAGAAGCAACAGCCCACATGGAAGAAGCACTGTGTGATCATGAGGTGTCGCTGGGATCAGGTATCAGGCATCAAAGACCCAGAACAAAAAATCTTATTGATGTGAATGAGGGGGAGTGTGGAGTAGAGACCCAAAGCCCATCTGTAGCCAATTGGACATCCCTTTATAGAAGGGTCACAAGGAAGAGAGGAGCCAGTCAGGGTGCAGTGTAGCACTGATGAAACATACAACACTCCTCTAGTTGTTTAATGCTCCCTCCCCACAACTATCATGACCCCAATCCTGTCTTCGAAACCCAGCTACTACAGGCATGTACACTGGTACAGATAAGAGCTCAAAACACAGGGAATCCAGGACAGATAAACCCCTCAGGACCAATAACGAGAGTAGCAATACCAGGAGGGGAATGGGAAGGTGGGGGGAGAGAGGGGCAACCGATAACAATGATCTACATATAACCCCCTCCCAGAGGGACAGACAACAGAAAAGTGGGTGAAGGGAGACAACGGTCAGTGTAAGAAATAAAAAAAAAAAAAAAGTATAAATTTTCAAGGGTTCATGAGGGACAGTGGGTAGGGGAGGGGGGAAATGAGCTGATACCAAGGGCACAAGTAGAAGGAAAATGTTTTCAAAATGATGATGGCAAGATATGTACAAATTGTGCTTGACACAATGGATGGATGGATTGTGATAAAAGCTGTATGAGCCCCTAATAAATTATTAAAAACAAAAAAATAACTAGCCTTATTAAATCTGATTGAGGATCCCTGGTGGCGTAGTTGTTGCTCACTGGGCTGCGAACCACAAGGCCCATTCAAAATCACCGGCTGCTCCCAGGGAGAAAAATGGGGCTTTCCACGCTCCTAAAGAGTGACAGTCTCAAAAACCCTCTGGGGCATTTCTGTCCCATCTGGTAGGGCAGCTGTGAGTCAGCATCAACTCGATGGCAGGGGGTTCAGTTTGTTTTGCTTGAGGATGAGCCACATACATCCACCAGGCTGTGCAACAGCGTGTACCACTTCCAAATGCTGCCATCACCCCAATGAGAAACTCCACCCTCAAGCATAACTCCGTTTCCTCCTCCCTCATTCATCGCCATTGGTTCCAACTCATAGCAACCCTATGGGGCAAAGCAGAACTGCTCGTGTGGGTTTCTGAGGCTGTTAGGGAGCAAAAGGCCTCATCTTTGTCCCTCAGAGCAGGTGGTGGTTTTGAACTGCTGACCTTGAAGTTAGCAGCCTCACGCTGGGCCAGGGCCACCGGGGCTCCTTCCCTGCTCTCTAAACTTAAGTAATACAACAACAACACACGAGTGATTCCAACACATAGGGACCCTAGAGCACAGGTCAGAACTGCCTCCGTGAGTTTCCAAGACTGTAACTCTTTATGGGAATAGAAAGACCCCGTCTTTCCCCCAAGGTGCACCTGGTGGTTTCGAACCTCTGACCTTGCGGTTTGCAGCCCAATGAGTAACCACTACACCACTGGGCTCCTTCCAATTCTCTAACCCCTGGTAATGTGTGATCCACTTTCTGTCTGTATGTTGTTGGGCACCCTTGGATCATGTAGAACAGAAACACTGTATGTTGTTGGGTGCCCCATATAGAACAGAAACACTGCCTGGTCCTGCACCAGCCACCGTTCTCACCAGGCATCCTCAAACTATGGCCCGCGGGCCACATGCGGCCTGCGGAGGACATTTATCCGGCCCTCTGGGTGTTTTTGCCCCATTTGTTTTTTACTTCAAAATAAGAGATGTGCAGTGTACATAGGAATTTGTTCATAGTTTGTTTTTTTTTTAACTATAGTCCGGCCCTCCAACCGGTCTGAGGGACAGTGAACTGGCCCCTTGTTTAAAAAGTTTGAGGACCCCAATAAATTGATTTAAAAAATAAAAAGTTTGAGGACCTCTGGTTCTCACAATGGTTACGTTTGAGTTCTATGTTGCAGCCGCTGGTCAACCCATGTCCCCAAGAGTCTTCCTCTTATTGATGTCCTTTAGTAGGGATTGGTCCCTCCTGATACATCTCCAAAGTGGGTGGAGACCAAGACTTGCCATCCTTACTTCTCAGGAGCATGCTGGATGTGGTCTTCTAAGACAGCTCTCTGTGTTCTTCTGACAGTCCGTGGTGTGTTCAATACTCTCCTCAACATCGGAACTCAAAGGCACCAATGCTTCATAGGTCTTCTGTGTTAGTCTGGGTAGACTAGAGAAACGAATCCATGGACACACATCTGTGTATGAGGGAGGTTTATATAGAAGAACAATTGTACATTAAGAAAACATCCCAACCCAGTCCAGTCCACGGCCATAAGTCTGACATTAGCCCATATGTTCAATACCACTCTATAAAGTCCTCTTCCGACTCACGAAACACATGCAATGAAGCCAAATACAGGACGATCACAAGCTAGTGGGTAGAAAGTCTTTGGGTCCGGTGGTGTTGTAAGCATCTCCACACTGGCAGGGGTCTCTCTGTGGCTTCTCCGGCTTCTGAGGTCTGGTTGCATCCATGTGTCTTGTCCGGCTCAGGCACTAGGCTAGTTCCATGTGTCTTGTCAGCTGCAATGTCTTCCAGGGAGTAGCCGAGAGGAGTGTCTCCGCCCCTCTCTCCAAGGAGGAAGTACTGGATATCCCAGAACTCTCAGGAGAAGGCCAGGTCCACACAGAGGCCTCATTGGCTATGATCTGATTGACAAGCTAGACCCCACCCCTACACTCTTAATTCCCAAATTGACAAACGATTATATAGCTCCCACATCTTCCATACTCCTTGTCCAGCTTCTGCCAACATGAAGTGAAGGAGCCCTCCTGGCCTACTGGGGTATGTTATGGGCTGCTCACTGCAAGGTTGGCAGTTCTAACCCACCAGTTGTTCTTCAGAAGATGAGACTTTCTCCTCCCATAAAGATTCGGAGCTTTAGAAACCCACAAGGACAGTTCTACCCTGCCTGTAGAATTGCTATGCATCAGAATTGACTCGATGGCAGTGAGTCTATAGAATATGAGGTGGCTGAAAATACTGACGAGGTCAAGCCCACCCTGGTCCTCAAAAGGGCATCTTTTGGCCTCTTAACTCTAAAGAGATTTCTTTTTTTTTTTAGTTTTTTTCTCATTTTTTAATAATAGGTACTGTAGTGATAAATTTTATTAAGAGGGTTTTTTTTTCAGACATTTTATTAGGGGCTCATACAACTTAAAGAGATTTCTTATGGTGGATTTGCCCACTGCGGTGCATCATTTGGTTGCTTGACTGCTACTCCCATGGGTATTGAGCCAATTAAAAGGAGATCTTTGACAACTGCACACTGTACTGTGTATCAAAATGTTGCTCATTGGTCCAAATGTGCTTCTGCTTGCCCTGTGTTGCTGAAGGCTGTGATTTTTTTTTCTATTAAGTAATCCATATAAGGGGGAACTTACCATATGGGCGTTTGTGATGGGCTTCTTCCACCTGTACCCCCAAACTATTTTACTTAATGGAATTAGAAAAACAAACCAAAACCAAAAACTGTGGTTGTTACATAATCTGGTGTCAATTTGAGGCTATTAAGAGTGAAGGGGTAGAGTTCAGCCCATCAACAGGTCACAGCTTGATGACCTCATTTGCAGGCACTAGGGAACTATTTATGCTCACTGGAGGCTAGACCCACGCTCTCTGCTACATGTTCCTGTTGACAAGCCACATGGAGTTACACTGATGGAGTCAGAGCACTGGAGCTGGAAGAGACATGTGGAGACCCATGCCAGTGCTGAGGTGCTTCCACTGCCGCTGGATCCACAAGATTTTCCACCCACTGGCCTGTGATCTTCCTGCATTCAGTGTCATTGCATGTGTGGTGTGAGTCTGAAGAGGAATTTATAGACTGGTATAGGACATATGGGCTAATATCACACTTATGGACTTGAACAGGAGTGTCTCTGGATTTGCTTCTCTAGTCAACCCTGGCTAGCACAAAAACCTTACACACTGCCGTTGGCCTCAGGTGCCTTACTGAATGCAGTCTCTGTGGAAGCTTTCTAACTCCCTGCACTGCTCAAAAGCAGACAGGTTGGCTGCGGATGTCACCTAAAAGGGCCCAGAATGCGGAGAGTCTCATTTACCTGCCTCTTAGTGATGAAAGGGAGCGAGGTGAGGCTTCTACCCCCTTCAAGTGCTGCAGGCTCAGAAACCCACAGGCCGGTTCTGCCCTGTCCTATCGGGTCACTATGAGTCGGCACCAACTCAACGGCAGTGAGTTTGTCTGGGTTTATTGATGACAAGCTGGGCCCTGCTATCTAGTCAGTCAT